CGGCTGGTAAGTACGAGGGCTGGAATTCTATAGGGCTCCAAAGACTATATTCTTTTTTTTTTTTAATATTTTATTTATTTATTTTGACAGAGAGAGAGAGACAGCGAGAGAGGGAACACAAGCAGGGGGAGTGGAAGAGGGAGAAGCAGGCTCCCGGCCGAGCAGGGAGCCCGATGTGGGGCTCGATCCCAGGACCCTGGGATCATGACCTGAGCCGAAGGCAGATGCCCAACGACTGAACCACCCAGGCACCCCTCCAAAGACTATATTCTTTTAAATAAAAGGAGTGCTGTGTCATGAAAAGAACAAAATTATAGAACTGGAAGGATCCCAGAATATCTTGGAAATGCAGTTGTCATAAGTATATATGTTACACACTATGCCGGTAAATACCATTTATCACATGCTTACTAGCACCGGACATTCGTTCAAATGCTCGACTTGCATTATCTTTACTGATGAGTGAGATACACACAGGTAACCCCATTTTGCAGATAAGAAAATATGCTCAGAGGAGTTAAGTACTTGCACATGGTCACATACAGCTAAATAAGTGATGGAGCTGGGATCCAAACTCAAGTCCACTTGACTCCAAAGTGTGCCACTAAGGTAATGGAAATCATCATCATCATCGTAAATAATAATAATAATATCCTGCTCTAAGTGCTTTATATCTTATAACTGATAAGTATTTTTATTATCCCCATTTTGCAGGTGAGGAAAATACTGCCTTTTGTAGTATTACTTAAGCTCACATCACAGATACCATACATGTTAAACAAACATATACCCCTACTGTCATATTTGCTTAACACATGTTGGATGTTATGATCTAGAAAATGTTTTCTTTCATAACGTCATGAGTGTTTTTCATTGTCCATCCAATGCTTTAAGGTCTTGGGGAAAAGGATGTGAAAAGATACTGTCTAGGGGTGCCTGGGTGGCTCAGTCAGTTGAGCGATTGTCTTCGGCTAGGGTCATGATCCCGGCGTCCTGGGATTGAGACCCGCATCAGGCTCCCTGCTCAGCGGGGAGCCTGCTTCTCCCTTTCCCTCTGCCTGCCTGTCTGCCTACTTGTGATCTTTCTCTCTCTCTCTCTGTCAAATAAGTAAATAAAATCTTAAAAAAAAAAATACAGTATATAAACGAAGCAGGCATAGTTGCAAGAGGGAAATCACTGAGAGGAGAAGCCCCACCCCCCACCCCCTGGTGCCATGAGAAATTCTGTTTGGTTGCCCTTCTGGCTGGTCTTCTCCATCCCTTTCTATTTGGTTCTCTCTAGCAGGTTGGCTAGCCAGTTGGCATCCATCAGGTATTGTGGAGCAGAGGTTAAGGACTTAGGTAGGCTACAGCATCAAGATCTGGATGTCTGCCAATAAGAGTTGCATGAGCATGGGCAAATTACTTAATCTTTCTGAGCCTCAGTTTCCTCATCTGTAAATCTGTACCTAATTTGTTTATTTTTATTTTTCTGAAGATTATTTATTTATTTATTTATGTATTTATTTAACAGAGAGAGACATGGCAAGGGAAGGGAACACAAGCAGGGGGAGTGGGAGAGGGCGAAGCAGGCTTCCCGCTGAGCAGGGAGCCCGATGCAGGGCTCGATCCCAGGACCCTGGGATCATGACCCGAGCCGAAGGCAGACGTTTAATGACTGAGCCACCCAGGCGCCCTATGGCACTTAATTTAATAGAGTTGTGAGTTTTAAATGAAACAATCGGAGCATACTCCAGGCACGCTGGGGGCATCCCCATGTTACGTAACATCAAAACTCTTGGGCTGTTGGGAGTGGGTAGAAGGGTTCCTGGGGATGGTTTCATAGCATAGTCCTGAGCAATGGAGGAAGAGTGAAAGCAACCCTGGCATCTGGCATTGGGTCCTGACAGCAACCATGAGTCAGCCCCAGGTGTCGAGGGACCAGCAGTGTTCTCAGCACTGCTGGGCGTGTGCTATGGTCACTTGGCCATGATCTTCTTCAGTCATGCTGTCTGCATGTCATCCTTATAAATCTGGTCTGGTTTTTTTTCTTTTCTTCTTCAGAAAAACAGCCTCCACCATGTGATGTCATGGTCTAGCCTGGGTCAGAGAAGGAAGGGAGGAGGAGGTTGTGTGTAGAGTTGGGTGAAACAGGATCTTTTTATTTCTGGAGGGGTCTATCTGGTCCTGGAAGAAACTATCCTTCTCTCCTCTTTCAACCCCATCTTCAAGACCCAGTAAGAAATCAGTATTTGGATATAGAGTGAGAAGTAGATGATAAATCATAATGCTGAAGACGTGAAGCTTAGGGGCGCCTGGGTGGCTGAATTGGTGAAGCATCTGCCTTCAGCTCGGGTCATGATCTCAGGGTCCTGGGATTGAGTCCTGCATCAGGCTCCAGCCTGCTTCTCCCTCTCCCTCTGCCTGCCGCTCCCCCTGCTTGTGCTTTCTTTTTTTTTTCTCTCTCTCTCTGTCAAATAAATAAATAAAATCTTAGAAAAAAAAAAAAAGGACATGAAACTTAGCATCAAGCAGTCCTGAGTTCAAATCCTGACTGCCAATTACTACCTCTGGGACCTTGGGCACATTACTCCTGTTTCCCCATTTTACCCACTGACAAGATAATTCTGATGTTATGGTAGTAAGGTTTTAAGAAATACTTGCAAAGCACTCAGCACATGTGCCAGAGAACACAATTACACGTAGTAATTATTCAATAAATGGTAGCTACTATTAAGTCCCTGGCATTGATGAGCAATATGGCTTGACCATTTTCTCTGTTTTTTACCAACTTGAGAGCCAAAGTTTTCTCCAATAACCATTCTTGCCTCTGAGAGATGGCCAGTCTCCTCACACAGAGTGTGACATCATTCTGGAGATGAGGAGATGGAGAGAGATGGAGTTGCCTTTGTCTTCCCTCCCTTAGCTAGCTGGCTCCCTGACTATAGCTCTTCTGGTCATCCCTGCTGCCTCCCTGCCCTCTAAAGAAACCTGTCTCCTCTCTCCAGCTTGGAAGGATCAGCCCCTCCCAGCCAGGACTTCTGGCTCCCTGGACCCTGACTCTCCCCCACATCCTCTCCTGTGCTCTGTTCTTTATTTGGAAACAGCTGGGGAAGAGGCCAGCATGTGTGAATGTCTCTAACACTGTAGAGATGGTAATCCCAGGATGCTCTGCATGCAATTTCATTGTGTAGGAGGCCCCCAGTGCTTTTTACTCCCCCCCCTACCATGTTGTTCTGGATTTGTGTGTGAGTGTGTAGGGGGAAGGCTGAAGATTAGAAATGGCACTCCTAAGGTTTGAGTCACCTCTCCTCTTGCTTCAGGCAGGATGTTCCTTTGCCTGTAACAAGAAGGGAAATTTATATGGCAGTAGGATTCCCATGCAGAAGTCAATCTAGTTTGGGGCCAGAAATCTCAGGTCAATGTCCAGCTGGACTAAAACTAGATTCCTCTCTTCCTGAGCACTAGGAGTGGGTGTGGGATAGGGACAGAGGACTAAGGAGGTGTGTAGGAAACAAAGAGCAGTCTCCACTGGATATAAGACAAAGACTACAGATAATACTATACTACAGGTAAAAGGAAAGAAGCACATCTATATATGCTATCGTGAAAAAAAGCCCAAGACATATTATTAAGTAAAAAAAGAAGTCACCGAACAACAGAGATATTAAATCCCATTTATGCTTTTTTAAGTCCAAAAAATGTAGGGAAGTGAGTGAGAAAGGAATGAGGGTATAAAGTTTTCTGTGTTTAAATATTTTGCAATGAGTATATACTTGTGTATTACTTGCAATTAAAAAGTATATTTTTATAGCAAAAAGTATATATTTTAAGGCAGAAGTGGGCTTAGGAAGGGAAGGGAAGGGGGACCCCAGGGGTGGAAAACAGGACTTCCATAAAAGAACCAGCCTCTGTCCCTGATGAAGCCCTTCTCTGTCCCCTCGCTGCACAACATGGGACTATCTTCTATATGGCAACTTGGAAGAGGAAAGTGAGGTCTCTGGTCCCCTTTCAGCCCCAAAGGACCCTAATAGCAGACCCCCAGTTACCAGGATGCCCCCAGGGGTCCATTAAACAGCCAACCAACCAACTGGTAAGGAAAAGTGGAAAGAGGAACATCAGGGGGAGGGAAAATTCCCAGATTTTCCAACAGGAAGGTTTAGACTCCCAAGTTCAGCAATGACTACAACAAGCTCCCTTTAGGAGGCCTCCACATCATGTTGCAAACTTAACCCCATGTCCAGGCTAAAGATAACACTTTCTACGGAGTCACCTATATGTTACCTTTTGACTCCAATGTCACGTGAAATTGTTGAGCTCCAGAGATATGAAATGACGGGCCCAAGATGACACAGCAACACAGAGACAGAGTCTGCCTTCAGAATCCTAACCAGTGCTTGCTTATTTGTTTTTATCAATGATACCATACTGCCCTATTTAAAACCCAACGTTTGGGCGCCTGGGTGGCTCAGTTGGTTAGGCGACTGCCTTCGGCTCGGGTCATGATCCTGGAGTCCCGGGATCGAGTCCCGCATCGGGCTCCTTGCTCGGCAGGGAGTCTGCTTCTCCCTCTGGCCCTCCTCCCTCTCGTGCTGTCTCTCATTCTCTCTGTCTCAAATAAATAAATAAAATCTTTAAAAAAAATAAAACCCAACGTTTGTTTTTGTCAACTTTCATCTTGACCCCAACCCCAGTCCTAATTCACAGTGGGCTCAGGTGTTTCTGGCCCCAGCCCAGTGGAAATGGCTGGTTTTGTTTTCTGTCCCTCCATGTTTCCCCCTCCCATCTCATCAACCAGAAATCTCCCTCCTGACCATGTTTCCGTCTTGAAAAGGGCAATCTTGGGTGGGAGGACACGAATGGATTTAGTCATTGGCCTAAAATGACTCTGAGGCTGTCTGGCTCTTTTCTGCACATTGCAGAAGATGACTATCACCAGGAGGGCTTTGGGGCTCATGCCAAGTGGGCCACCTCCTTTCTTCTTCCAGATGCCTTACTAAGGCAACCTCTTGACCCTAGCGATGGAGGAGGACTACAGGCTTTCAGGGACCATTATGCAAGAGCCTAAGACCCTAAGGTGAAGATTTGAAGAGATTACAAAGGATAATTTGTGGTGGGCAGAAATCAGTAAACTGGGACAAGAGCAGCAGCTGAGTCCAGGGGTCAGTGTCTGGGAGTAATTTAGGAAAGTTCAGTGCTGACAGCTGTGTCTGGAGCTGAGCATCAGGGCCAAACCAGCTCCTGGGCTGCTCGGCTGCTTCAAGCTAATGAAGCTCTGGCTTAGGACACAGAGACAGCTGTGGTGTCGCAGAAGTCAGGGCCCCTGGGGCCCCAGGCTCAGCCTGCTGCTTCCCAGCAGTGTGACCTTAGGCAAGTCCTTAAGAAAGAAGAAAAGGAAACATCCACTAAGTGCAATGCCCTTTCACATGTCATCCTCACTACTGCTTATCGAGGATAATGTCCCTATCTTACATGGGGAGAAACAGATTGTCAAGGTAACCAAAGTCATTCTGGGCTATCTGGTTGTGGAGCAGGAAGACAGAAGTGGGATTTAGAGCTTCTGAGCTCAAGTTCTGGGCTCTTTTCCCTGAGTTTTAGCTTTTTTCCCCGTAAAATGGGAACAAAAACGTACCCACTTTGTGAATGAAGTCACCCATAGTAGGTTCTAAACCCTTCCCTTCTCACAACCTTGTCCTTGAAGAGTAGTGGCCACCTTCTTCCTGGGAATGGAGTAATCTTTAACTTTTGCCCCTCCCCCCCAGTCCGGTTTGTGGCCACCTTCTTAGGAGGAATAAAGTAATCTTACTTTTGCCCTTCCCCCCAACCAGGTTTGTGGATCCAGGCCCCACAAGGTGCCTGGAAGAGAGGGTATTTGGACTCTGGTTTCCCCTCTGCCCCTATCCCCAGACCTTCTCCCGACTTTGGAGGGCTGGCTCCCTCATCTCCTCCTCCCCAGTTTTGGCAGGCGGACTGACATCAGTGGGTGTTCCCAGGGAAGGGGAACTCTGAGCCCAGCTCCAGGCGACCCTTCCCCCACGGCCCAGGGCAGCCCCAACCCCCTGCCTTAGATACTGCGGCGTGGAGAGGCCCTCTGAACTCCCAGTCCCTTCCTTCTCCTCCCGGTCCGCGAGAGCAGGTCGCTAACCCCCTTCCTCGGCACCGCAACGAAGGAGAAAGGGCGATAGGGTCCCGGGAGCGGATGCTCGGAGACCCGGGCGAGTCCTGGGCGCCACGCGGCTGAGCCCAGGAAATGCATCCCGGTTCTGGGGTTACGAGGGGAGCTGTCCAGCCCCGCAGGGTGAGCTAGAAGAGAGAGTGGGCCAACGTCGACCCGGCGGAGGGAGCGGCGGGCGCCAGGGCCGGGTGGGGCAGCGACTCCCCCTCCAGCCCGCCGGCCCCGGGCGTCGCCCCCGCCCCCCACG